AGCCAATGAACGGCATCGTAATCCACGGAGGTTCGGATTGGCTCATTCTGCCGCGCTACTTCTGTGCCTATGCAGCCCTTCCGGAGCAACAGGACAGTCTGGTTAGGAACTTGGTGACCTGGTATGCCAATGTCATTTTACCGGTTGAGTCTTTCTTCCACACTCTGGCCTACAATTCCGCCTTCTGTGAGCTCGTGGTGAACAGCAATCTGCGATTTGTCAACTGGCAACGGCCTAGAGGCTGCAGTTGCCGTCTCAACCAGACTGCTGATTGGTGCGGCTGTTCGCCCTCTGTCTTCTCTGGTCCCCGTGATCTCTATCGCCTACACAAGGCCCGCCTTCTGCTTTCATCTGAGCCTACGTCCCCCCAGTTACAACTGTTTGCGCGGAAATTCGACTCCACCATTGATATTGCCATGGTGAATTATGTCGAAACGCATTTACTTGGCCGCGGGCTGCCGGGTACGCGAGTCACTTTGGACTTTCGTTTTGTTTTCTGGTGACAGCAGTCTTATTGCGTTTCCCCACAGGACTCCCACTCAGTTCTGCATAGGCGTGGGCAAAGGATGCGGCCGGCTATTATCCCAACTTCATAAAAAGAGAACGCGAGAAGAGGGAGAGGGCTTTGCACTTTTTCTTTGAAACTTTTAGCCTTTTCGCCAACACCGACGCTGTGTCAGTCGCCTGGTAACAGTAAGACACGTCGGCGACCCTAGTTGTGATGAAGGTTGACCTAGGTTCCTGCTTTAGCCGGTGGCCTATCGACCACCTTAGATGGTATTAATGCAAGCGCTAGTGTAATCAGCTGACTATGCGTCAACTGCGCGATCCTATAACCAATGTCTTTTTGTACCTTTCGTAGATTCACCAAATTCGAACCTCTTTCTGGAGTCTATCCACTCATCACAGTACGATCACCAGTCAGAGGACAATTCAGCAGTTCCCGCAGCCCTCCTAGGGTTCCGCTTTTTGGCAACCGCAGCCACGGAATTCGCCCAAACTTTTGACAGATGCATCGACAACTATGGTGAGTTCTGTACTGGATACCTTTTGACGGCAACGAAAGTTCAGTCTTCTTTCCGACCCCCGTCCACTCGACTTTTAAGAAAGTTTTTCATGACTTTCATGCATTCCAGTGCCAAATACTTCACACCCCGATGTATTTGCGTTGTTCAACGCTTCCACCGCGATTTTGGACTATGTAAACTACACACAGCTGCATGAGCAACTTGAGAAGTACTCCTTTCTATCGACCAATCAGCTTTCGACTGCCCTTGCCCTCCGACCAACTATCGGCAAGCCAGCACTGGTTCTACGGATTGCCCTTTCCCCGATTGGACCGTTAGCTGAAGAAGGCCGTAATGTGCTCGAGGTCCTCTTCCGGCCACGTCTCCAATCCTGGGTTTCAGATAGGCCACCGAATTTGATGAACTTCGGCGATATACTATATTTCGAGGTGAGTAAAACGACTCTCCACAGAATATGTAACGACATGTATGAACCTTTAGTGAAGTTTGCCACATTAGCTAAGTCACATCTGCTAATCGTTAACTTGGCGGTCTTCTGGGCATTCGAATGGCTATCCAGATGAAGTTCCGATGTGGAAGCATCAGCGCACAGAAGCACAACTAGAAACACGAATTTCTGGCCAACTCTGGCCGAAGCAGTCAGTAGTGTGGCGAAGATGAGGCTAGAACGGCAGAATTTGCCTCATGACAGCCATCGTTTGCTCCTAGAAGAAATTAAGGAGAAACATCGTCTCACTAGGACATTGTGAAGGGACATTGGTAATACAGTTTAAATTAATCATTTTTAAGTCCGAATTTGTTGATTTCGCATACTACTGAAGGCTAATGGTCAAGGGCGAATACTTTTCAGTTGCACCAAAGCGCCAATTTCTTTTTAATTTTCCAGACGGAGGCTTTCGACAATATTTCACCAATTTTTTTTGGAATTCTGAAGTCGTTTTTGCTTAAATAACCGGTTTATTTTTGAGAGTTATTTCGTGCCTGAATCCACTCTGAGTTTTAGTATTGAAGCAGGAGAGTATTGCCCACGCAGCAAAATTCCAACACCCAACAATTTCGTAAAGTTAATTTGACCCATTTGTGAAAACTGGGCGACCCCGGTGGGATTGGAACCCACAACGGTAAGGGCAAGGCTTGAGTACAGCCAACATTCCAACTACCTGAGGTATGTACGAGGTCCCGACCGGGGAGCCGCCGTGAGTTTAATCACATTTGGGTCAAGTTACCCGCCCAGCCTATTGCAACGTATGGAATCGACCAATTATGATACAGTAGTCTGACTGCCCAAGTAGGATCTCCTAAGCAAACAATCTAGAATTCACCAGATGACTACCAGGCTGATTTATTAGATAGGTGTTTTGGCAGATTTGAATAATTCATTTGACCCAATTGCGGAAACCTCTGCCGGGTTGACTGATGCACTGGCCTTGCTGTCGTGGGTTCGAATCCCACTGAATTTTCACCAGTTGGCCAAATCTAATTCGTACGTTCCATGAGGTTTGTTGGGTATTTCGAGTATAAGCGAGCCCCCAACGGTCACTGGACTTTTTTCCCCGAATGTTGCCTCCTCAAAGGGCTTTGGCTCAATAATTGAACCACAAGGTAGCGGTAACAAGCAGATTTATCTGATGGCGGCGTACAGCAATTTCAATACCCACATAGAAGATTTGGGGTGGATACTTTCGACTTTTTTGCGGGTTGTTGCCCATTACTGATGAACATCAGTGGTAGAAACAATACGATCAGAAGGAGGGAGGAGTAAGTGGGACTTGAGAAATCCCGTTGGTTCGCGAAATTTTTAAATGTATATTTTACGTATTTACTATGACGTCTAAGCTGGAAGGCTGATTGGTTAAAGCAAAGTGGAGTTTGCGGCAATACTCTTTAGCCTGATGGCAGCCTTGCACAATAGTTCGCTAAACCTTTGATTTCATCAAAATGTGTCGTATGATTTTGCAGGGAAGTTCCCGGGTTAACGTAAATATTCCATGTTCTTTAGTAAAATTATAGTCGCTGTAGTCTTAGACCACCTTTTAGCCTTTCCTGATTGCTCATATTTCGCGACGAAAATGATAAGAGCACAAGTAGTAAGTCGATATCCGAAAATTGCAGCTAGGAATTCCTGAAATACTAAAGCCACAATTACCACCAACATCGAACAGAATAAATAGTAACCTATCGACCTTGTCATCAGTCTTCCGATCTTCCGTCTTTGGGCCAGCAATCATGACCCGAAAAGAGGGGTTGGTGGCACTTGGAGATCTCCAAACCCCTTTCAGAAAACTTTCTTCGAATGCTTAATTGATTAACACGCCTTTGTTTCGAGCACTTTTGCGTATTGATTCTACGACCAGTACCAACAGGACGTGCCACATCAAATGTCCTGATTTGCGTCCTTTTTGATTTAATGACTCCTCTGATATGTTCTTAGATTGGAAGTTAGTGCGCCAAAGGGTCCCGTATTGGGCCCAGACCACGCTTATGTAGTGCTTTCAATATATCATAAAGGTATTACTAAACGCATTCGTGTCTAGACGGCATACGTGCGATCTGAGATACTTGTACGGATGATTCAACTATCTGACACACCATTCTCACCGCTGAGTGTGATTTCACCCGTAAACACACGGTTAGAGATGGAGAAAGTCAAGTTATTGACCGTTACCGGCCAAAGACAGACAAGCCATAATTAGATTGTGCCCGTGGGCTCAAGACCTCTGTTCCCTCCATAAAAAGCTGTGCAAAGCGCGGAAGCTGACTGGGGACGGCCCGATTGGGATCGGCTTTGGACGCACGTTAGCTAACCCAGTCCTCCTTCGGTTTACTGCTGATGTCCCCAGCTCATGTGATCTGCGTTAAACTGTAAGCTGCCAACCAAAAAAGACCGTCGGAGACTTTTACCGCAGCTTATGTGATGTACTGCCACGATGGTAAGCTGATTAAACCATTAGTTCTGTTAGCACCCTGGTTGCTGGTGATACGGCGATTAAAAACCGTCACCCTTGGTGGTGGACTCTAATGCTCTCACATTCCCCACTTTCAGGTTGGTGCAGGCTTCGACAGCAAGGAATTGGTTTTTCGGAACTACCACGGCTTCTATGGCAGCCGGGATCGGTTGTCGCTTATGGTAATCTGGTGTGCACGGCGTGCACGCGGCGCGCAGCCCGCCTTCCTTCCTCCGCCACTGCCACCAGTCGACTTCCGACTGGTTACACCCACAGGCCAAGTCTGTGATAGTGCCACTCTGCGTGTCAGTCGAAACCTTACCACTAGGGAGTTCTTCTACCCGGGACTGCCTGACTTTCATGTGGCCTTCCAACATCTGGAGTGGGACGCTCTCAGAAGTTGCCTCTCCGCCGTTGCAGCCGCGGAGACGACCTTGTTCGGCACCTGGCGGGTGGAGGAGATCTCGACCCCCCAGCAGCAGCAGCCACCCCGGACTGCCAATTTTACCATCTTTCCAGACTCGCTTCAGGCAGCTAGTTTGCCGTCGCATCAACTCACAAAAGTCCTTCAACTGGGGACCCAGCGACCCGTGGAAGCGTGCCTACACCAATGCAGTCCACGGTATCAAGGCAGTGCGGATGGGTGCTCATGCAAACTGCAGCTCTGCCAGAAGTCCGCTGTCTGGAGCACCCTCTTCCCCGACGAAAAGTCTGCCCTTGGTTACTTTGACTCCTCCAGCGGCCTCCTCAAAGTTGACCATGCCAGCCTGTTGGACGGCCCGATGCCTCCAGTCTACTCAGTTGGAATCTAACTCACTCAGCATGTACATCTATTTTTATGAATGCTTTTGCTACTTGCTTTATTTGATTCTTTCCTACCAACTTTTTCTGACCATTCACTGACAATAAAATTGCTGCCAGCTTTTATTTTTGATGTGAACATTCAATGAAATACGCATCTTTTGCGAATTTGTCGTCTGCGCAGTGCTGTCTTGCAGGGAGTCGCACAGGAGTGCGTCCCAAGCTTTCGTAAACATGGTTTCAAGTGGACTCCTGAGACAATACCGGCTGACCGCCGCTCATTGAGGTCAACCGCAAGTGGGAATGACGCAGCCGAGCGAGTACGAATAATTATCCGTCGGGTGAACTGGAGCTATCCGCACCGCATCAGGCGCCAGTAGCCGGGTGGGACTAGCAGAAGTCAAAAATCTGCCTCGTGTCCCGGCGCTCAAGGGTGGAAAATCACAGTTGCGTACTATTAGTCTGATTCACAGAATCTGTGCATGCCAGAGGTAGCCCTGGCTGGCGCCGTGATTGCCTCAGTGGTAAGGAGAGTTCAGGCTCGAACCTTGAGTCTTTCCGGCTTGGAGCATGGCTGAATTGTGGTTACGAACAAGCTAAAGTTGGTCGTCCGAGTGTCTTTGGTTTTTGTCTCGATACCTTGACATTAACTAGCGTCACCAAAGACCCCAATCGCGTAAGACAACTAAAGTCAGCGGAGAACAACAATCAAGCGCCACAGATGAAGATACGAGGTTGCGAGCCCACGGAAGGTGGATCAACGGCATCGCGGTTGTATTTTGTGCAGTTGATGGCAAAAGTTCAGTATCAATTCCCAAACAGGGTAGAATAGCCCGATAGACTCCTCTGCGCAATTCGGTACGAATCTCAAAAGCGGTTTACGGCGGGGGTCATCCGGTAGGCTGTTAAGTCGGCTAGTCGGTGTTTACTGCTAGGACTTAAGCGTCCGAAACGAAGGAAAAGAGACCGACTAACTTTGGGTTCATTCACCAAAAGTCTTGAACTCTCGTCAAAAATGAAAACGGCAAGGAAGCAAGCCATGTATCTCCACAGCCAATCGGCAGCCGGTCTGGAAAGTCAATCCTCTTCTCCGTGCAAACATTTGAGACTCAGATGCGCTCCCACATTACGAAACGAGTGTTGATCAACTGGTGGGCTATTTAGATGATGACAATGGTGACCTGAGATCGCGGTGGTTAGAATTAATGCGACAGTCGTCATGACAAATAAATCCCCCATGAACGGGACGGGGAACAATCTAGTTTAACCATACAGTCTACGTAAGGGTCTATGAGGATGAGGAACTCAGCCCTGCGAGCCGTGACACGCGAAGCGGTCTTTGGAGTCTCGAGAAGAAAATGCAATTTCAAAGAAAAAATAAGTATACTTAATGCAAACACTGTACAGGTGAATTAGAGCGTAATACGTCCTCATTGGCTGGCTGAGGGTGCATTTGGTCGGTAGCGAACGATGTACAATCCATACATGTGGTCGCTCTGCCGTTTGACTAGCGCAATTAGGTTGGTACAAAGACGACGATAATCCACAAAACATCCCACAAGGTAGGTAACACAGGCTAGGAAGACTAGCCAAGCCAGAGGCAGGCGTATGTCATTGCGGGGGTGTAGTTGGGATGGAATCGGCCCCAGGAAGTCACGACCTTCCAAGTGGACTGGACCCATCGGCAATAAACGAACACTGTTCCAAACGAAATCGATCATTTCGTCGAGATCAGTATCTGAGCCATTGAATTCCCGGTAAACGTGACCAGCTATAAAAATCTTCAGTTTTGGGATGTAAAAGACCCGAAGGCTCCA